TTCAGAATTTTTTAAATAGCCCCCTCTGCCTCCTCAGCACTTCCTGGGAGATGAAAGCCTGAAAAAGCATTTGTTGTTGGTCACTTACTACTGATGGCTTCTTTGGTCCCCAAAGAAGATAGAAATATCCACATCTTTCTTTAAGCAGCATCTCAGGCCCTACCTGATCTTTGCTAATACTTTCCTTCCCCCAAGTATGAATCTGACTCAATGAAGGCAACCTGTGTAATCTACGGTACTAGATATTATGATTTCTCCTTCCCAAGGTCTTGAGGGAAGTCATTATCCAAGAACAAGACAGATAGGCAGATTCTTTTGGGATATCATAGTATCTTACTAGGCATTATCTGAAAACACTTTTACTAAATAACTTGAACTGATCTAAACAAAAGTGCTCGGTAGAAAGCTTGGCATTTAATTAGCAGTCAGTGACAGTGTGGATAAAGCTGTCATTTGCTTGCTAGATTTGGTACTCTTTTCTCTTGCTTGTTAGATTGGTACTCTTTTCTCTTGTTCTATGTTCTACCAGCAGGTTTTGGAGGCATGAATAGGAGCTTTGGGCACCAGGATGTTTGGTGTGGTTTTTATCTGGTTCCTTTGAATCAACAGTAGTCCTGATGAGGTTATACGAATTTTGAAGTTACTGAGAATTTTCCATGGAGTTTTATGCTCTAAAATTGGGATAGTTCTAGGAAAACCAGCAAAGCTCCTTGTTTTGGCCCATATCTAGATGTCTCCCCCAAAGTCTCATATAGGTAGGGCTTTTCAGAGCTTGCTGGATCTAGGGCTAGTGATACTGGGATGAAGGGGGTTTAGTGCTAATATAGTCCACTGGTTACAATTAGCATAGTTCTGGGTGTGGCCGAATATATTTACTGAAGACAAGAAGCCCTACTTTGGATGAAGGGGGCACCCACCTAAAAGGCATCTAGCCTAGAAGGGATGAAAGGGAAAGGCAGGCTTACTGTTTGCTGCTTCTTGCCTACCATGCTATGGACTGTTTCTTCTCTGTGATGCTCCTCAGCCAGGACACCCTGCCTTGGAGCAAGCTGACTACAGACTGAAACCTCTACAAACTGTGAGCAGAAATAAACTTTGCCTTCTTTAACTTATGGGCATCTGGTATATCATCCTAACAATGAGAAAAGTAAGCAAGACCAAGACGTGGGTCATTGCTGTGATACTTGCTAGCCATGTGCTTCAGAAGCCATTGAAATGGATTTGGGGAAGATTTTAGAAAGGTTCAGGGTTGCTGATTGAAGAAGCAGTCCTGGAGTGCTGTAAAGCAAGCCTGATGGGAGATTCTGTTCAGCATTCAGAAGGCCAGAATGCTGACAGAAACGCTGCTGGTAAAGACCATTTCTATCATCTTTCAGTTAGGGACAAGGACTGCATTGGCTGTTAGACTCCAAACCATGTGTGTTATCCTTTGGCAGAAAATTTGTTTATATTTTGCTCATGTATAAGACCTTTCTAAGACTGAGCACTGTGGAATAATTAATCTGGCTGAGGAAATTTGAAGACAGTCTAATTTTGAGGCAGTGGCATAGCTGTTACTAGGAGTTTTAGCCAGATTTATGTTGAGAATCAAGAAAAGAGAGCCCAACAGGATGATTTAAAATATTTTGAGTTTGACCAGAAAGAAAATTTTGGTAAAGTTCTGGGCTGAAAAGATGGAGCAAGGAAGAACTTGGTTGCTGAGAAGGAAATAGGCAATAGAAAGGATGGCTAGAGGACATTATAAGAACCAGCGGGGCTCTGCCCTTTGCAGCCTCAAAATTGCATAGGTAAAAGATGTTGTTTTGAGAACAGAGCTCCAGAGCACCATATTCCAGAATGCTGGACTAGGAATTTGTTCCCAGAGATTGGGGACATAGTACTCAGAAGTTCAAGTACTTGGTTCCCATAGCCAAAAGAGAAGGAAAGCCTCAGCACCTTGCACACAGTGCTGATTTTAGTTGGATGCATAATGCAAGAGTTGTTGGGTCAGAAGGACTTCCATTCATATTTCAGAAGAAGGCCTGGGAGGATGGGCAGTGTGACCCTGAGAAGACCATGTGTGAATCTGTAAGAGTGAAGCCAAAGGCCCAGTGAAAACCCCAGGAGGGTGGAAAAGCCAGGAATGTGGACTGTCTGCATGGAGCAAGAAAATACAGCCCCAAGAGAAGCCATGAGAGCTGCAACCATCAGTGATGCTGTAGGGGTTGAACCACCTGATCCTTTTGGAGATCACGTCTTGCCACAGATCTCCCTGGATGCTGGACATGGACCTGTGGGACTAAATGTTCGCTATGCTAGATTTTGGACTTACTTTGGTCCCATTCCTTTCCATTCTTCTATTTGTACATTTTGGATTCAGAATGTTTATTTTGTGCCATTGATTGTTGGAAGTATTTATCTTTTTTTATTAATTTTATTGGGAAACAAATAGCAATGAGACAGTTTCACAACTAAGTAGTAGGACAGTTTTAATAATTAATACATTGCATATTGTTGTCTTTGTAGTGATTATTCATAGTATAAGATGCAGACCTCGTATCCTGTCCAAACACTATTAGTACAAATTTTACTTCTCATTGAATTAAGAGCAAGTAGTTGTATATCTATCCTAACTATTTTGTATATGCAGATAAAAAATGGCCCTCCATTTGTATCCCCTTTTCTGTTTAGTTTCATCAGAGATGGGTATTCCATTGCCATTTAAGTATTATTGGTACATGAATTCAGCAAAATATTCCAATGTAGTCCAATAGTTCATACTAGTAGTGGGTTATCCACAGGACTGGCAATGTCAGAAGTTGTTGACTTGAGCCTTTTACAGCTCAGCATAGTAATATGGCTTTACTTTTTATACCTCGTTTCTATACTTTTCTGCTGAATGGTTAAGATCAAGATAAAGCAAGACCTATATAACAAGAAATGTAACTTTTGTATCTGATAAGGTCAGTCAAATCCCCTCAGGATTTATCCTGAAACCCTGTACAGCAGTTTGTAGATCCTTTGTCAATGTCAGCCATGTGGATGAGTCACGGCCATTGCTTGACCAATTTGCTCTCTGTGAAAGCCTGAGAGAATGTTTTCTCTCCATGTGACTCTCCTTAGTCATACTCTACATCATTTTCCTCCCTAGCCCCATAATCTCCTTGATCAGAAAATTTGGGACACAACTAAGTTATAGGATTTTACAGTACAGGTTCTCCTATGTCCTGAGTCCTCACTTTAACTTTCTTTTCATTTGTGCAGAGGCTCAAAACTAATAGTTGGCCTTAAAGACTTTGGAAGACTATGGACTTGTACTTTCAACACTGCTGAAAAGGTTAGGATTCTGGCAACTCTTACAGATATACTAAATGACTTTTATATAAAGGGATGCACATTAGTCTCTTGGGGGCTAGGGGCAAAATGTTATGGCTTATATCTAAGGTTACCCCAAGCCTCATGTACTGATGGATAGGGCTTTGCAGAGTTTGCTGGATCTAGGGTGTGTGGTACTGGGATGAAGGGTGTGTGATAAAAAATTAATTCCCTGGTTGGAATTAGTATAGTTCTATGTGTGGTTGAATGGATTTACTGAAGATAGAAGTCCCACCCTGGGTGTGAGTGGCACCAGCCAAAAAGCTTCTAGCCTGCATGGGACAGAAGGGAAAGGCAGGCTTGCCGCCTTCTACTTGCTACTTCCTGCCCACTGTGCCAGGGGCCGTTAAAGACACTTCTCTTGAAATTAGTTGTTCAGATTACTAGATGTAAGCATGAAAAATTGGTCAAAAATTTTAAAAAAAGAAAACAACAAAATTGAAGCATTAACTGCTCCTTTCAATAGACCAGCAGAAATCAGCAGTACAATTATCCAAGCTAGTCTGTGTATATAGATATATATTCATTCTCTCTCTCTCTCCCTCCCTCCCTCCTTCGTTCTCTTTCTCCCTTCCTCCCTCTCTCCCTCCTTCCCTCCCTTCCTCCCTTTTCCCACATTCCCAGTTCTTCCTTCCCTTTGAATAGTTTCTTTCCCTTTCACAGTATCTATTGTACCTTTCAGATCCTGTTTACTCTTTCATGTTCTTACACTAGGGAGATAGTACGATGTTTACATGTGTGGGTCTGATTCATTTCACTTATGAGTATGATCTTTGGTTGCATCCATTTACCTATAAATGTCTCCAGTTTATCTTTCTTTATAGCTGAGAAATAGTCCATTGTATAAAAATACCACATCATTTTTATCCATTCCTCAATTTGTAGGCAACTGGGTTTTTTTCCCTAAGATTTAGCTATGACAAATTGTGTTGCTATAAACATAGATGTACACGTATTGCAAATTTAAAAGATGAACCAGCAAGCAAAAATCAAAGACACTTCCCTTGCCACAAAGTGTAGTCAGCAGCTGTCGGTGGGTACAGGGGAATCAATGATTTGAATGCAGCCTTGCAATGTCTTCCTAACTTTACAGTGGCTGCCTAAGACTCTTTTATGGGTGATCAAACCTTTATAAGATTGAGAGCATGAATATAAAACAGAAGGCAAGACAATTATTTGAATTCATCCCATAGTATAAATGACTGATATGATGTATTCCCTTTGAGTAAATTCTAACAGGAAAGGGGAATATAAAGACACTGACACCTAGAGACAATAAAGGTTGACAGGCTGACAGATGGGCTTGATTATGGGGGGGGAGACCCTAAAGACCAGCTATTTCATGGTCCCCATGGCTGTCCATCTTTTCTATGAGAGAACTGAGGCAGTGTAATCTAGTGGCAAGCTCAGTGTGAGGACTGGGCTGGACCCCAGGGGTCCAGATCCTACTCCTGGTTCAGGGATTTCCCATCCCACTGACAGATGCAATACTATAGCAGAGGGACTGGGTCAGTTTCGTTCTGCCTATAGTTTGGTTTGGGCCATCTCTGAGAATTGTCCTGGGCCTATCCTCCTTTCACTGGGGGATGTCATGTGGGGCTCTCCACAGGTCCCACAGCTGCCTGTTACCCAAAGGGCTCACCCACCTTCGGCCGCAGCCACTCCACACTGGAAAGGTTTTTTCCTTGGAGTAGTTTCTGGCCTATGGAAGAAGCTTCAGCAGGGAACGTCTCATCCACAAACCACTTTCTGTTGCTTAGGCAGTGGTTCCGCAAAGAGTTAAAGTCTTGATCCTTGAACTTGATGATGGAGGTCTCGGCTGGACGGTCTGGGTAATGCGCCATGACTATCCTTAGAGGACTGCCTCTGAGGTCCTTTCCTTCTGGAGAGAAAAAGGCACACTTTCATTGGTAAGCAGTCAAGTCCTGGCATCATGAGATGTAAGCCCCAGAAGGGCATGCTATTGTTCCCAGCTATTTATTTATTTATATTTTTAGGGAAGGGTCTCCAGGGTGTTTAGGGTCTTACTACTCGATCAGACTCATAGTGATTCGCCTGTTTACAGCCTCCCAAGTGCTGGGATTATGGGCCCACACCACCACGCCGTCTCAATTGCCATCTCAGTGGGCCCGGGGGGGCAGGGCTGGCACAGCAGGCCCAGGGATCAAACCCCTAGCCCCTGCACCTGCTTGCAGGTGCTTTAATCCACTGAAATATTTGGCCGGTCCTGTTCCCAACTTTTGTAAGTGGGGAAACAGAGACTCAAACCCTTGCTGTGCTGATGGCTGAGCCTGAACTAATCCCAACATCAGTTTAGTGTTCTGTCTGCCGTACTGAGTAGCTTCTTGGCATGCTATTTTGTAACCAAGAGCTCTGGGGGGATCTGTACATGTGATGCGCATTCACTGGGCACCGAACTTGTGCCTGGCACTATTCTGAACACTGGCAATCCAAACATAAATACTACATGATCTGTATTCTTTAGAGGCTTTTTAATCAAAGTAGGAAAGATGGGTTAGACATTTCAACAGAAATTATGCAGTTAAAATGGATATACAATCCTATGGACATAGTAAGAGGGTCTATGTGTTCTACAAACAGTCTGGGTTTACACTTCCATAGCAGTGACATTAAATTGGGCTTTGACAATTTGCCAGGTGGAGAATTGGGTTGGCAAAGTCATGAGTGTCGGAGGAAAGGAGAATGACCAGAGGGTTTGGTGAGGTTAGCAAATGTTGGAAGAGACGGCCAGAAAGACAGGTTGGAAGACTGGTCTGAAATGCTTTATATCCTACGAGCACTGCAGAGTGATGGAAGAGTTAGCGTCTTATCAGATCGTATGACTGTGATCCAGGGAGCAAGATGGGGCTGGAGGCTGTGGAGGATGGGCAGAGACTAGAAGCAGACAGGAGGCTATGAGACTGCTGCATTTGTCCATAGAAGAGACAGTCGCAAAGCATAAACAGTAATGATGGTGGAGGGGAGACATATCTCATAGGTAGAACCAATAGGATTTGATGTTGAACATGGGAGGAAGAAAAGGAAAAATCAAAGGCAGTGTGGTGAACAGGCACACACATTTGCTTTTGCTTCTACCACTTACCTATTGGTTCTATAAAAATGTGCTGGCATCTAAGGCTATGAACCTATTTATTTACTTGTATGGACCAAGCATACCAACCTCATAGGGTTCATTGCAACAATAAGGTTTGATCTAACACGTAAAGCAGAGTGGCTACAATATAGAAGGCATTCAATAAATGTGTGTCTAATTCTCTAAAGAGAAAGAAGGCTGAGATTCTTTTAGGCATCTACACGGAGGCAACTGATGCCATTTGCATCACCTCTTCCACCCCGGAGTCAGGCCTGGATCTGAATCCCAAATTCATTGTATGAATCAAAACCTCCTCAGGCCTTCTAGTAGGGCTTCTGAAGCTTCTCTGGCCAGCGCCTGCTTAGGTGGCACAAAAGACCCCCACGTCTGCATGTCCCACTCATGGCTTCACCACAGTGAGCACAGGATGAGAGAAGGATGTATATAAATGACTTATAAGGAGAGAACATGAGCTCAGAATCAAGATTTTGAACATTGGAAAAATATGTAACTTAAAATAGCTTAGCAATTATCTTGCAGTTGCCTGATAATGGTATGTGGCAAATTATTTGGGCAACACAAATTCAGAGCCAGAATATCACCTATTAAGTGTCATTGCACACACTTATTTGGAGGGAATTGCACAATTGCCTTCCGGACAAGATAGCAGTAATTTACATTTGAACTAATACATTGAATGATACAAAACTGGCATTTTTATGGATTAAAAATAGACATAATCAGATTCATATGGTTAACTTAAGCTAAACAGTGGTTAAATATGGGCTGTTTCATATGGCTTTAGCCTAATATGTGTATCTCTTCACTCTAGTTCTTGGAAAATAATAGACCAAACTGTTCAGTATGCCTTAGGACTCACAATAGGACTAGATAAAGAGCCACATCGAATTAAATAAATAGTGATAAAACTAAAATAACAGCAAGCCATCATTCAAGAGCAAGAATGCAGTGACAGAAACTACTTGTCAATTCAAGGTCAAGGTAAGGACACCTGGTAATGAAGAGTGGGAAAACTGTGGGTCTACCACCTGCACGTGTGCTTGGGGACAGTGGAGCTAACAGCACCGCCAAGCTTCCTACCTCTCAAATATTAGAGTATGTGATGGACTCCAACAAGCAGCTACTTTCATGAAACTTTATTTTTATGAGAACCAAACTGTGATTATTCTTAGTGGCACAATTTCAAGATTGCGAGGAAGAGGCCCTTTGCTGCACCTAAAGATAAAAATGTAAAGAATTTTGCTTAATTTTCCCATTAGAATCAGGTAAAATCCTTGCATGTGGGGGTCAGTTCCCAGCCTGCCTAGAGGGACTACACTGCCTACCCCTGGGTAGCTGGTTGGTCAGACTTTAGGAATCCCGCATAAGGCTCACTTTCACCATTCGTGAGATGGCGATGAAGACATTACACATAGGGCTGGTGTGGGACTCAGGTGAAGCCTTGCCTGCAGGATGCTTGGCACAGTGACTGGTAAATAGAAAGCAGGTGACACATACTCATTGTTAGCATGACTATCACAATCCTTTGTTAGTGTGGAAGGGCTGGGTAGAGGCCTGGCACACTCAAGGACTTGCTCAAACCTATAGACAGCACGGGCTCAGGGGTGCTGCCGGGGGGAAGCACGGTAGAGGCCACCATCCAGTGTGCTGGCTGCTCAGTGGTTGCTCAGGCCCAGGTGGGAAGAGAAAGGTGCTAAGAAGGTGCAGCAGCTCTGCCTCTGTGGCTGGAGGAAGCGGCTTTTCTGGGTGGTGGGGGACCGAGAGGAACAGAGAAGGGAGGCAGGTGGGGAAGCTTCCTAGGCCTACACACACACACACACACACACACACACACACACAAAAGGAAAGAAAAGAAAAGAAAAACAAATTGAAAAAGAAAAGAATTAGACAGATGAAGGCCTACCTGACGTTCAGGCTAAAGTCTGTCTTGCTGTAAGGTATTTCTTGGAGGTGGCAAGAAAGTGACACAGGAGGAGTTGACATGGTGCTGACACCAAGTTCTTCGTGTGAGTAGCTTCAGGAGCAGGAAGAAAGTGTACTTGGGGCTATGGACCTTTGCAGTTCCTCGGTGAACACAGGATGAGAGATTGGAACTAATTACATTTGAACTAATACATTGAACTACACAAAACTGGCATTTTTATGGATTAAAAATAGTGAGATATAGTCAGATTCATATAATTAAGGAACAAGCTGAATGCAGGATCTCACAATTCCTCTCTGAGGGAGGGTCTGTCTTAGTCCATTCAGGCTGCTAATAGAACATGACAGACCAGGGAGTTGTGGCAAACCTGTGGCAGTGTGATGCAGCGGTCACTCAGAGCCCTCTCTGTTGGCACCCAAGCCACATCATCCCAGCAGCAGAATATCAGATAACAGTTGGGTTTTTTTCTAAACTAAAGCCACAGTACTAAGATTTAGTCACAGTGTGGACACTTCATGGTGCAGAAGTGGGCTTTGGGGTGCAGCTCGGATCCTTGAGCTCTAAAGGTCTGCCATCACTGCACTGCGGGATTCCACAACAGAATTCATTTTCTCAAAGTTCTTTCTAGGCATCTAAGAAAAGTCTGAGCCTGGTCAGGTTTTTGTGTCCTCACAGGATTGGGTGTGCTAGTCAGATTTCCCACTAGTGGGACATAATACCAACTCTCGCAAGTTAAAGGAGAGGTTTAATTTGGCTCACGGTTTCAGAGGGTTCCATTCATGGTCACTTGGTTCCAAGGGAGGAATAGCATGGCAAAAGAGCAGGCAGAGCAAAACTGCTTAGTTCATGGTGGCTGTGTAGCCGAGCAGGGGAACAGTGCCAAACAGGAGCAGGTCAGGGACCGTATGTAGTAACCCAAGGTCTTGTCTCCCTGACTCACCCAGAAACACACACGGAGAGCGCTTCCTAATCTACTGGGAATTTACTAACCCAGTGGCATTGACACATCAGCCTGCAAGATCACATGGAAGGGAGAGAGAAGGAGAGAAAAGAGAGAAGGCAGACACAGAAAGCCTGAGATTGTCCCCTCTTCTTACCCTTCATGTCCTACTATTATGACATCTTTGAACCTTCATTCCATCTTAAAGACTCTATCTGCAGGAATAGGCACACTGAGGGCTGGGGCTTCATATAAATTTAGGGGCAAACATGGTTCAGGCCACAGCAGTGACTAACTTCAGGCTGACCCAACAGCTCTCTCGGTTCTGGCTATGGATTCCAGGGAGTATGCAGATCGAAGGGGGAGCTGGGACATAGCAACGAGGACTTCGAAATCCAGAGGGAGGAGACTGGTGGACACGAGGGGAAAAAGAGTCCAGCACCTAACTGCTGAGGAAATAAATGTCACTTGCATTGATGGAAAGATAAGGAGGACCGCTTAATGGTAGAAATGGCTTAGATACTTACTGATACTTGCAGCAACATAGATAAATCTCAAAAACCATTATTCAGCATGGAAGAAGCCCATAAAAACAGAGTACATGTTGTATGATTTAATTTATATAAATTCTTAGGAATGCAAATGAATGGGACCTTAGAGACAAAAGTTTAGTGGTTTTTCAGAGATGGGGTGAAAGGAGGAGTAGGTTCCAAAGTATTGTGAGAAAACTTTGGGGGATGATTTGAGTGAATATATATATATATATTCATCAAAGCCTACACTTTATTTTTTTTTTCTTTTCATTCATGTATTCGGTACAGAGTCTCACTACATAGCTTGGATTTGTAGTGATCCCCCTGTTTTCAGCCTCCCCAGCACTGGGATTATAGGCATGTACCACCA